CATCATTTTTTATTTTTATTTTTATTTTTAAAAAGTTGAACACAAAATACACATTCTTATACAATTTTAACTCTATTTACGTATTGCAGCAATTCCAAATCCAGAAAAGGAAGAGGATTTTTGACAGCTTTATAATTATTTCGACGAAATATAATTTTTTTATGTTTATCATTTCCTTACAAATCTACGCCTCCACTATACTTCGAGGAGTGAAAGTGCAATTTTCTATCGACTTTCAAAATAGAGAATTATGAGCCGCGAGTCAACTCACCCCCACCAAGGGATTAGTTCGCGGGGCGAGCAAAGCCGACTTTTGATGAAGCCAGCTCATATAAGCTCGACTCGAGTCATTTAAAAACACTACGTAGGCCTGTCCGTTTTCCATTTTGACCGCACATTTTAATAGTTTTTTTAACCTTTGCCAATCACACGGTCATTTTTTTCACTCCCTATCTCACACTAGGACCCACTGTATGAATTCAACGATCCAAAAATACATTCTCAAATTGAAAAAATTATTATAGAGAAGAGATTCCCATGAATTTTAAAGAACGTCGAACGATGGAAAAACAGCATCTAAATAAAGCAGTATTTGTGCTATAAATTGCAGAAGAAACTTTTTATTATTACGGTATTTTCCACAAAACTCAACCCTCCTTTTGACTATGCCTCCTTTGAGATTACAAAAAGCTTCAAAAAGGGTCGATAAAAAGAAAAAAATAAAATAAAGTGTCACCTAAAATATGACTTTATTAATTATTATTCTAACTTTTCCTCTTTTAAAATATTCGCATCGCGTTTCTTCAAATACAAATTCAAGACATTCTTCATTACCGAAAAATTAGTTAAATTTTGATAAATTTGATTTGAAGGGAAAATGAGGGACGAAATGAATTAATGTAATTTTTTTGTCTCAAATAAATTAATGTTTCAAATAATAAATTGACACAAAATGATTAGTACAGTCGTTAACTATAAATATCATTGATCGATAAGGTATTAGTCACGTCATGTTGAAAATTTTCGAACTATACTGTTAATAAATAATATTATAATAATATTTATACGAATGAAAAAAAAAAAAAAGATTTCTTTTAAGTAGTGGAGAGTGAGAAGAAGACAGTCGAGTTCAGTGTGTGAAAAAGGCAAACGAATGGAACATAAATTCTCCACCATCCTCCGCCACCATCGCCACCTCTCCTTCCATTATCTACCTCTTTAGTTTTACATTCAAACAGGGGCGGCGCCATCCAACCTCCGACTCTCGCACCGGCGGTTTAGCTCAGGCTTTGTTTTGAATTTATTATTTCTTTCTGTCTTAAGAGTAAAAGAGAAGGTGTGAGATGGGGTGCACGGTATCGAAGCTAGATAACGAGGACACAGTGCGGCGGTGCAAGGAGAGGCGCCGTCTGATGAAGGAAGCAGTGAACGCCCGGCACCACCTGGCCTCCGCGCACTCCGATTACTGCCGCTCCCTCCGCATCACTGGTTCCGCCCTCGTCACGTTCGCTTCTGGCGAACCACTCTCCATTTCTGATCACACTCCGGCGGTCCTCCTCCGCAATCTGTCCTCCACCTCAAACGCCACTGCCGCCAACATTTCCAAACCCACTTTCATCCCTCCTCCTCGTCACATCCCCTCCCCTTCCCCTTCTATCCATCCCCCTCCACCGCCACCACCCATGTCCACCACCTCCAGCCACCGCTTCCACCAGCAGCAGCTACCGCGCCGCAAAAAAACAATGAAACTCCCACATATTCTGTCAGATTCTAGCTTCTCATCCTCTCCGCGACCATCGCATAATTTCGACGGAAAATATACTTACGACGCCAGAGAGAATTCGACTTACTCCAGAACCCCCTCCCAGGCGTCCTCTGTATGGAATTGGGAGAACTTCTACCCTCCCTCCCCTCCCGATTCCGAATACTTCCAGAACCTCCATAGCAACAAGAATGCCTCCCGAATTACTCAAGAAGAAAGCAATTCGGATGATGACGACGACGAAGACGCTGACAGAGAATCTAACTTATCATCGTTTTCTAATACTCACGATCAGATCAATAACTATCAAAATCCCATTAGCAACAGCAACGACAAGAAGCAATTCGACGACAAGGCGTCCAATTATTCATCGCATTCACGTTATTCAGACAGTGGGAACAGTTATGTAAGAAATCATTCTAAACAAGGTCCTGTACCAGTGCAAAAGAAAGGTCACCATCTAAAAAGCTTGGAAAGCGAAGAGGAGGAAACGGAGAGAGAAGAAGTGCAGTGCAGTGAATGGGGGGACCACGACCATTATTCCAATACAACGAGCTCGACTGATGAGGATGAAGAGGAGGATCTCAAGTCCAGATCTGATTTTGGATCTCAATGGAATTACGGGTCAGTGAAAAATGAGGCTGCTCCTGCTCCTAATGTGGGGAATTCGAACCGGAATTTGAATTCCAAGTTCTCGAGTAAATCCGAGAAGATTTACTCGGATGATAGCAAGTCATCGGTTAGTTGGGGAAATAAGAATGATGAAGGGATGAATTCTGATAGGAGGATTGTGGTGAGGCACAAGGATTTGGTAGAAATTGTTGCAGCACTAAGGGAGTATTTTGACAAGGCTGCGTCAGCTGGTGAGCAGGTATCTGAGATGCTAGAAACTGGACGAGCTCAGCTTGATCGAAGCTTTAAGCAGTTGAAAAGTAAGTTTGTTCCTGGTTTTCGGACCAAAATTGATCTGATTTTTGTGTTTCTGTTTTAGCTTTGATGTTAACAAACGACCATTTTCAGTTTTTCATTCTCAGTTTTGCTTACTTCTGTTAAAAACATGATCTTTCTGTATAAATGCACATTTTGAATTGGTTTTCCTTTGTTGTTACAGAAACAATCTATCATTCGAGTGGAATGTTGAGTAACTTGAGCTCTACCTGGACTTCAAAACCTCCTTTGGCTGTTAAATACCGGCTTGAGCCCAGTTCGCTTGATCAGCTAGGAGGCCCGAAAAGCCTTTGTTCAACTTTGGAACGGCTTTTGGCGTGGGAAAAGAAACTATATAAAGAAGTAAAGGTACTGATCTGAACCTCATTTTCATTACTTCAATTCATTGCCTGAACTTTTGTTTGTTACAAATGTCACACAACTTGCCACCAGAAATGATGAGGATCAAAAGAGTGATAAGGAGACCGGAAAATCTCAGAGTCATAAGATTTTCAAACTCAAACCAAATGATAAATGCAAAGTTGTTAATTTCTATTTGATAGTTATTATCTATTTTTCGGATAAACACCAGCTACAATGATGATGGAGAGTTGTTGAACTTATTTTATTATAAATATGAATAAATACGTGCTAGCTGCTTATGGCCTATGGTCATCTGGCAATAATATTACAATCAAGTCTTTTATTCATTTTTAAAGTTGTTTTCATATTTTCTTCTTTGTTACTTTCTGAAATCAAGCTCCAAATTTTTCTCATTGTAATGGATGTTGACATATCATAGACGCAATAGTTGACTGTGGCACACAGTAATCTTTTTGTTGTCTTCTATTTTGTAATTAAACGAAATCGTGCCTGAAAAGCTGGGGACCTTGTGGAATTAGCACTTGTGCTATTGTATGAGAAATTGTATGCACGCATTGGTTGCATTGTTATGGTTTTTGCTTATACACGAATGTTCACCTTTCTTGTGTTATCTTGTTTTTGGGATTCCCTTTACATGGAATGACTAATTTGCCCTGAATAACTGTCTGTTTGGTCTGAGAAAGACAGCCTGGAATCATCTTAGGATGTTAACTTGTACAGCCAGCCTACATGTACAAAAAAAAAAAACCCCACAGAAAACACACAAATAGGTGGGGTCCTTTTTTTTTTTGCAATATTTAATTCACATGGGGCCCACCCCCATGTGAGTATCTGTTCATTTTCTGTCTGATTTTTTCTGTTTGTAACATGCTGGTGGGTCTGCCTTCCCAACTAACATGTCTTTAGTACTGGTGACAAAAATATGAAGGAATACATTTTAAGTTAAATTTCTGTTAATATTATTACTGTTGATTGAAGTCTTCAAAAATGAAATAAGAATCATGCTACATGTACAATATTGGTTGACAACATCCTATTTGACATCATCATATTCATCTATTATAAAAACTGTTTTTACATCACATGGTAGGATTTTGACAA